CTGAACACCTTGGCTGCGGCAACTCATCACACGCTAGGATTTCCCACTTACTGTAGCAAACAGTCCCAGAAATAAAGGTTCCTGCAAATCTTCCCCCTGTGTATTTTTGTTTGGTCTTTGGGGATATTAAAAAGAGTTGGAAGCTACAAGAAATTAAAAACAATAGATAAGACTGTAACATTCTCACACAAACAAAATAAGTTGCCTAATGAAATAGAAATGACATTTGCATGAACATACTCTACCTTGTAGTTGTAGGGTTTGTTAGAAAAGAGCTCAGGGCTCATGTAGTACGGTGTGCCTATGAGAGTGCTGGCCATGTCATACTGGTTTTCCAACACTTTGGCTATCCCCAGGTCACCCACTTTGATTATATTTGTTCGTGTCAGAAAAACATTTTGAGTTTTCAGATCTCTGTGCAGAATGTGCTTCTCATGTAAATACTAGGAGGAAAAAACATATAAATAAAGTTAAGTAATTCCCAATTGGTCCTTCTACACTGAAAAGTAAAATCACATTACACAAGCCAAAAAGAGAAAAATACAAATGCAGAAAAGACACATACATCACTAGCAAAATCAGGAGTGCCCCTGCTAAAGAGATTATTAGTGAATTAACATTAAGAATGACTGATATAGGCACAGACCCAAAACTTGGCACTACTTTAGGGAAATCTCTCTGTGTGGAAACAACAGGAAAGAGGAAATAAATACGTAAAGTCAAGACTCAGACTTTAATTCACTTTCTGCTGCCTCCATTTCTTGACAATCATTTCTTAGTCACAAGCATAAAATTTTGGTGGAAAATACAAGGTGAGCTTTGTGTAAACATAGAAGAAAATGAGTCTCACAATAAACAAGAACGGAGAGTACTGTAGACTTGTATAAAGCCTGTTGTGATCAGACATGTAAAAAAGTATTTTCTGACCAATTTCTTAGTGTTTACATATATATCTGGTCTTCACTGCTATGATGATTGTCTTTAAAGTTGGATAACCTCCAATTGCTTAATTTCAATGGAGCAAGATAAAATTTACTAGAAATTATGAATCAGTAGTCTAAAATACACCAGGAAAACCAGAGAACACAAAATGCTTCTGAAATAATGTGCTTTTATTTTTCAGCTACATTTTGTAAATTTAATCTAGCTTCAAACAAGGGAAGAATTTCAGACTAGCATTACAAACGCTGTCACTGTCTACTGTGATACATAGGTGTAATCCTAAAATACAATAACAATTTCTTATCTAAAATAGTTAATTTGACTGCAGTGACCTGTGAACAATTTTATTGTGCTAATAACCATTTTGATGTTAAGTCAGCCAACCTGGAATTCAAAGTCTGTTGCACAAATGTGACATTTTTAAATGCATAAAGAGCCAAATTAAATTTTTATCTGAAGGTGACACAGTTATACTTTACCTGTAGTGCCATGGCAATCTGGACAAACCACTCCACCACCTGGTTCTCAGGCAAAAGTTTGCCCTTCTGCTCTTTAAGTTTGTGATAGAGATCTCCCCCCTCGCAGAAGCCCATAACAATATACAACAGGGCATCCTCCCCCTGCCAGGACTCTCTGTAAGTGACTATGTTTGGGTGTTTCAGCTGGGATAACAACTGTGCCTCTTGTTCTGCTGCTTTCCTCTCTCGGATGGAAGCATTTTTAAGGTTTAGCTTTTTGATGACATACTGTAAAAGAAATTGTAAAGTTTATATTGACAAGTGAAAGTAACGATGCAGGATTGCTAAGGAATTCCCCAAATCTAAATGAAATACTGCATTTGAAATTCCACACATTATTCTATAAGGAGCCTGCAATTTGTCTAGCAGTTATACAGAATTTCTACCATTACGCTGTAAAAAACGGAACAGCTGTGGCTATTCTATACCTGAATAAAACACTACATACACAGGAATTCTGTGGTGGTTTTCTTTCTTTTGACTAACACTCACATTTAGCTTTTCTCCCACACTCTCATTTTAAATGTCTACAACTCATCTCTTAAACCCGAAATAACTGTATGCAGACATCTACAAAAAATCACAATAGATGTCTAAAATGGAATTCATCTGACTAGACTCACTTTGATCTTCTCTAATAGAAAACCAAACCAAACTCCTTTCATTCTATTTTTTTTGTTTTATTTTAAAGATTTCATTTATTTTATTATTCACTTCTTCAGAAATTAAACAAGTTGTTAAAAAAAAAAAAAGAAATTCAAGAAATCACATCTCACAGCTTCAGCGAACACAGACCATACATCTGAAGACCTAAAAAGTTGTTTCAAGGCTTAGATGACCAACTCCCCGTTGTCATACTAACAAGAAATACCTAGCAGAGCTGAATTTCTGAACACACAAAGTAATACTGTGTAAAAAGTGACAGTTGTGCTACTCCTCAAACATTGTTTGCAAGATTTCCTGTTGCAAGGATAACCAAAGGCCTCGTGGCTAAGCAACAGGCAAAGACTGGCCTTGTGGTTTCAGCATCTGCCAACAACTGACAGTGCGGGTGTAGGGGTGCAAGGCCGCTGACCTCGAGGAGGGTGTTGCGTGATGTGATCCCCAAGATAGCCCCTTGCAACCCCCCCCAAGACCACCTGGGACACACCAAGCCTGCACCAAAGTGGACCACACCTACCATCACCTAACACCAAGCCCACCATGCATATGCACAAAGTTTGCTGGAACTGGGAGATTTTTGAGACTCAGATTGTATAAAAATGGTACCATCGGAGAGTGGGTGAGGGACCCTCCCCACAAAACTCATCAACGACAGCAAAGAAGTCCTGCAAGAAATCACTGGATATTGGTCAGGACCTGTGAGACATCGCTGGATCCACAGTGATGGCTATCCTATGCTTAACATACCACCTTTCCTACCTCTCTCTCTTTCTCTGTCACATTGTTCTTTTGAGATAACATAATAAAATTGTAGAATTTGGGCATTGATATCTGGCCTTGTTTGTGCCCTAATCTTATGCTGGGTAATCCATAAAGAACCTATCCTCTCCCGCAGTGGTTTAGACCGGTTCGGGATGGGACACACTGCTGAGCTTCTCAGCTCCATTCACTCTTCTCTGAAAAAAAAAAAACTTGTAGCTGGCAGAAGACCCCCAAGGCAGAACTGACTTGGGATTAATTACTGTATACAAAAAGTCTGCAAAACAGCATGAGAACAGGAGAAAACCTATGCAGCAAGCAGAGATGCAGCTGGAGGGCTGGTGTTGTTTGGGGCATACTGAAAAAAAATACCTTCTCAAAAAGCTGAAAGCAGATGTAATTTACTTCTTTTTAAAACTTGCCTTAAAACTATCTGTTGCATTTATGAGTTTCTGCATATGCAGACTTAAACTTATTCAGGAAGGAAATGAACTACTGCAGGGAAGTAGAGACTCTTGGTCATACTGAAAAAGCCAAAAGGTCTTAGACTCATTCCTAAATTTCTTTTATTCTGCATCAAGATGGGTTTAGAATTTTTTTTAAAAAATACATGAAAGCTGCTATCTACTTTCCTAATACGTACTGTGTCAAATATATTTCTAAGGAGTTTCAAGTTTTCACAAATATATAATTGAAGCTGAGACGATAAAATCCATAGCACACATTCATCATGGACAGCACCATATCTAGGCCTGACCCGGCCCCCTTCCTGATGTAAACTTTGTGGCAATCACTTTGAGGGCATCAGCTTTCCGTGGAACAATCATGCCGTGCCTGACCCCATTCCTACCTGAGAGATTTCACATTGAACCACTTAAAAAAATGTTTACCTATGCGATTTCAGTGTCTTTGGCAATTGCTTGGGGCATCTAGTTCCCAGGCTGGCTCAGGTAATTTAGTCCAGCAGATTTAATTAGTGCTAAGGGAGACTGCCCCTGTATACCAAGGGAACCAATTATGTAGAAATCAACTGTACCTCGTGATTTTCCGTTTCAGAAGTCTGCTGGATATTAGACAAGCTCCTCAATTCTTACAACCTGTGACAATGCCCAGTTCCCAAGAGGAACCTAACAAAGCTAATTGTGTGCAGCAGCATCTATGCTTAAAATAAAACAGAAATGCTGTAACTACCACGTTCTGTGTCACAAGCCAACGACAGTTTTATCTCTAGGCACGGAAACCAAAAGCTTTTAACTTTTCATCAGCATCCTTCTTTAGACAATATACTACCAAAATGCAAAAATCTTGCATATAACCTAACTTTAAACCTGATATTGATTGCAAATGGTGTACTTGTTGGCTTTTTTTTTTTTTTTTTTTTTAAACATTTGGAGCCACTTGACCTTCTCCACAAAAGTCCGTACTCAGTTAACAGCAAATATACTTAATTAGAAGACGTTTTCATAGAACATGTAGCACTATGCCACAGCCACAACAAAAAATCTGATCATTCTGCTACAGAAGAATGTTTATAAAATTTTCGGTTTTATTAATATCAGCAGCTAGAGTTCTGTGAATAAGCTTAAAAATGAATACAAAATAAATCTGTATTAGCTTCATTACATGCCAAAGCAAGACATGTACTTAAATAGGCTAGTCTTACAGAACAAGAAAATGGCATCACATGAATAGGGATTTAATTTTTTGCACAATCTTTAAAAGAGAAGCAAAATAAGAAAGCAAATAATCTCAGAATTTTGAAAATTAATCAATATACTAGTTACACAAAAGAGTAACAAGAAACTCTAGGGATATCTAGATTAACAACTTGCTAGGCCTGGTATTACCTCGTATGCCACCATGAACTACCAGTCTTACAACATCTGGGATGAAGTACAGAACACGCAGCACTACACAAAGCCACAACAAAAAATCCCAACTGTCCTGCTACAGAAGAAAGTTTACAGAACTTGGCAAAAGATAAGTCACGGTAAAATGCATAAACTATTTAAGATAAGATAACGATAAGGAAGGAAACACGGTTCTTATGTTAACGATCAGCAGCCTGTCAAAGAGGAAATCCAAGGACCCGTACACAGTTGCAAGTCACGTGGATGCACTGTTTGCTTTTAGGATGACAAGGTTAGCAGCTCTCCGGGGACACTGGACTATGCACCACGGTGACTGGTCTGGAGGGAACAAATGGTGCCATCGATGCTATCAAACCCACAGGTTCACAGGGTTTGGATTCCAGCCTCTTCCCTGCCCTCAGCTGGAAAGGATACACCCTCTGATCACCACCGGGCACAAATGCTTCTCCCATCATTTCCAGCCAAATCCCACACATAAGGCTCACACAGCAAGTTTTCTGCACTGCCACTCTATGGATGTTCTCTATCCCCATTTCTCTATCTCCTTGTCTTTTCTACTAAACAGACCTGCTTCGGCCACGTGAGTCAGATTATTTCAAAATTACAACAAAAAGGCAACAAAACAAAATGACTGCACTTCAACTCTGACATAACCATAACTTTGCTAGGTTCTGCTGCAGACCATCCAGCAGACACAAAGCCCGTCTTCCTCCAGCAGAGCTGACACCAGGGACCACTAAACGACCTAGTCTACCACAATCACTAAACTATGTCCTGAAGCACCACATCCATGCGGTTTTTTAACCTCTCCAGGGATGGTGACTTCCCCACCTCCCTTGCCTCACCACTCTTTCAGGAAAGAAATTCTTCCTAATGTGCAACCTAACCCCCCCCCGGGTGCAGTTTAAGTCCATCTCCTCTCATCCTATCGCTGGTTACTTGCAAGAGGAAACCCACCTCACTCCAACCTCCTTTC